CAGAGAGACGCGAGAGAAAGTCAGAGAAAGCACACTCCTTGAGATGAAGGTTTTTCCCTCTTTGTCTTGTTGGGGAACTGCTTCATCACCCGTAATAAGTGCCTGGCACAGTGGAGCCCTCAACAGAGGCTTACTGAACAGTAAGTCAATGGGCGTGCAGGGTTCGTGTCTGCCTGCCTAGATCGGGTCTTGCATGTGGACCCCCGGCCCCTCTGCCTTCCACACAAGACAGCGAGGTCGGGAAGCCCCTCTGAGCTGGCTGAAACTGCCACCTCGGCCCTGAAGGAGACAATTTCTCCCTCTCCCTTGGTGTCTGGCATTCAGGTTCCAAGCCCAACTCCCTATTTCCTTGTTAAAGAGAATGTGCAAGATAATTTGTGGTAAGAAGACAACAATGTAAAAGACCAGTCACATAAAATTTGAGACACACAATTACACAGGGCTTTTTAAAATGGCAAAATAATAGAAGAAAATGGATTCATATAGTGGTCAGTGGTATTGCGATGGTTGTGTTTTATGGCCCCATAGAATCTAGGCAGGTAAGAGCTTCCCAAACATCAAACTTACAGCAGGCTGTGAGCTCAGCATTCAAGATGACCATGAGTAGTTCTAAGAGTGCCTCCCAAGCCCCTTCTCGGTGTGAGAATTACATACTAAGAGATGGAGAGAATCCACATGATGGTGAAAAGAGAGGACATAATAAGCTTGAGAAAGGGCAGAATCAAGAGAGATGAACAGCAACACTCCCAAAGCACCTTCCACAGATCATTTTCATAAGATGTTGAGAACGAAGAAAAAGGGATTCTCCCATTATCAAGTTAGAGAACTGCTGGGTTAAATGAGAAACACAGGTTTCTCGACTGCGAGACTTACTAGAACCCACAAAACATTAAATGTATTCTTGATTTGCAAAGTTGCAAAGAGTTGGACACAGCTGAGCAACTGACACACATTTCCACCAGAGGGGTTTCATGTAAGCATCTCTACTTGTTTGGGCAAAGAATTCTTATTCTTCAGAGCATTATCCAAGGTTGGTGTTCTGTACAATGCTAGGAACTACTAGAATAGGAGATCAAATAAGGACAAAGGAGGCAAGAGACAAAACAGAGTCAGCTGGTGGATCGATACACACTAATAATTAGCTTATTCGTCCAAGCATAGTGAAAATGCGGTGACCTTATGGCCATTTATTTCATTTGGAATAACATCTCATCATTCTGGGAGAACAATTACAATCATGAAATTATGGAAACATAATTGATTCAGAGACAGTAATAAAAACATTTATCACAGTAATATGGAACAAGTATATTTCCAAATTAAAGCTATTATTGTCTTTTAATCAATAGTAGCTACATATACACACTTAAAACATCCCCCTATACCCCAGGAGGAGTAGAAAAACATGATCTATTAAGAATCTTCTATGATATCTCAAAGGGAAAGTTTACTTTGGGGGCTTAAAGTGGTGGGGGGGAATCAAGCTCTTACACTCAAAAGGTTTTGTTCTTCCAGTTGAGTTGCCTGCAGGCTTTTGAATGAACAAAAACAAATTGGATGTTTTCATTTTAGCTAAATACTGCCCTCTGCCGAAATGTGTACACAGTTTCTAACATGTCTTCCAAGGGTATAAACATCCAAGCATTGTCTATAAGGTCTATAAAATATACACATTAATTATTGTGCATTAGAGAACTTGTGTTTCTATCCAAATTCTTTTGCTTATTGATTGAGTGATTTCAGTCCAACTGGCAGCCAGGTATATTAACATGGCTGACCCTGGGGCCCAGCAAATTCAACTTGTCTAAAACTGAGCACTTATTTTGTCACGATCCTTCTTCTTAAGGCCTATCCTACTCGGCGACACACAAGAATGGAAGAATCACCCTTCTCCCTCACCACTGACACCCAGCTGACATTCTACACCTTCAGGACAGTCCCCCTCCATCCCTCCATCTCCAGTCTCCTCACACTGCTCCGGTGCAGACCCTCTTCCGCATTCTGTGTGGCAGCCCCCGGCCCCTCTCACTCACTCTCCACAGTCTCGAAGAGTGAGCTTCCTAAATAACAACCTGAACTAATTTGCTTAAAACAGTTTCCAGGGCTGTCAGGGTGGAATTCCGATTCCTTGCCTTGTGTACAAGCCTGCTGATCTGCTACCCTTTCAGGCCTATGTTCCTGGCATCTCTCTCTCTCTCTCTCTCTCTCTCTCTCTCTCTCACACACACACACATACACACACACGCACGCACACCCCTATACTCCAGGGCCAAAAAGTGACCTGCATTTTCCCCAGTGCATTATCTGGTTCAGGACTCTGTACTGAGCATATGCCTATTGTCTAGAATTCCCTTCCCTCTATTAGATCACAGCATTGGGGTCACCTCCACCAAGAAGCTTTCCCTGGCTACTCCACCATCATACTCTACAAAGTGCTCTCAGTATTATTTGCCTATGACTCCTGAAGCACATATAATGTGCCGGGACAGCTTGTTTTTCCGTGCCAGTTCCAAATTGTCAACCCCATCTTCTACTATTCTTTTTTAAACAGTAAAAGTATAACTTCTTTAAATAGTAAAAATATAAAATAGCAAAAACATCTTCTACTATTGTGATTATGTAACTATTACATGATATCATTGTATCATGATAGGTCAACAGAAAATAACAGAATTCTATATCACTAAAACTACCATTTAATACAGAAACCTGTAATCACTTTTTAAATTCAGACGCATAATAGAATTACCTTGGAATTTCTTGAAAAATACAAATGCCTAAATATTGTTGTTTTTCTCCAAAACTCTAGATGTCTTTCTAATGAGCAGCCACGTTTAAAAACAACTAGACTATATGATGATCGCTTACTTTTATTTAGTTTGCTTCACTTTTTCTATTTCATATTCAGCGCTCCCATTTCATCATGTTTCCCAATTTCTTTTTGTTGTTGTTGTTCTTTCTCAAGTCTTTATCAAAAGTAGTAGAAAAGCTTTTGTATACATATGTGTATACAGTATGTATAATATAATGTATACTTTAGGAAATTTATAAATTTTTGCCTAGCTAGAAAAATTATGACATTTTGATTCCTCTTATTTGACTAAATAGGAATACTAGATTTCTCATTTATATTCACTCAAAACTTTGATATAGTTCCATGTATTTGGCATCTAGTATTACTGCTAAAAGTCTAGAAAATTTATTATCTTAGTGATTTTTAAAAAGTGTGAATAAGGCTTAAAACTTCTAATCCAATTCTGAGAATATAAAAAAAGTACTACATTGTAAAAAAAAACAAAAACAAAAACAGAAAGTTATCTGTATTTTATTAAGTACAGATTTTATTCAAATTTCACAAAATTTTATGCTAGTGCCCGTTGTTTTCATACATTATTCAAGACTCTATTTAACTGCATTAAGCAGCTTCAGCTGCATGCAATAAATTCTGATAAACTCTTTTCATTTTTATTCTATTACAAATATTTTCTAATGTTCCCTGTTACGGCTTCTTACATACACCCGTCATTTAAAAGTGGACATTTAATTTCCAAATACATGGGATTTTCTTTAAAATATCTTTAATATTAATTTCTCTTTTGACACTAACGTCTCATTTAAATGCTTTCTCTGCAATCACTTTCTGTGTTTTTCTCATTCTAACTTTACTGAGTCTTTCAATGTCTAAGTCAAAGATCTCTCTTTGTAAATGTTACATTACACTTGAAAATATGTGGATTATTTACAGATATCTTTTGATGTTGATTTCCAACATAATTCCACAGTGATAAGGGAATAGACTCTATAGTATTTCAATACCTCTAGACCATGAAATTTTTGCACCTTGTTTTATGTCCCTGGATATGTTCCAGTGTCTCTGAGTTTACAGTCTCCGGGAATTTGAATAGAATTTGTATCCTACTATTGTGTGAAAATTGTATAAGTCTTAATTATGTTGAATTGGTCTATAGTGTTTTTCAGGTCTGCTATATACTTCTACTTCTCTGTATAGTCATTCTATTAATTTTTGAGAGTTTGATATTGAAACTCCAACTAAAAATCTTAATTTATCTACTTAAAAAACAATTGTAATATATAACAGAACCATATGCAACATTATTCTGTATGTTCCAAGTCTCCTGTAAATGGGTTATCATACTTTCATAACTTAAAAAAGAGATTTTTTCTTAAACTGGACTTGTCACTAGGACTTGCCAACAGATCAGATCTACTTGTATGTGTTAAAGGGGAAAGAACCTAAATTGAAGTAGAGATCACATGCCCTAATAAGGTGCCAAGTTGTAGAAAACAAGAAAGTATCATATTCCTACAAACAAGCTGGATGTTACATGCAAGTGTGCTGTCAACACGACTCCCCGCTTTGATGTGGAACAGGGTAGTGAGGATGTGTTTTTAAATACACACCTCTTGCTGTGGACACCCACCTCGAGCAGATTTGGACTTTCAGCCTCTGAAGCATCGTCAGCAATGTGAACCACTGTGCAGAACAACCTGGGTTGGGTGGGGCCGCCTGTACCCTGAAGACAGCACCCCTCACCACTCACCTCTACACATCAGCGGAGCTCCCCAGACCCTATGACAATCAGAACGCCCTCACAAGCTCCATCCTGTAGGACCCACTTGCCCAGCGCAGAGCAGAGGCTCCACAGTGGTGGAATGAGCTGGAGAACCAGGAGAGTGACAGAGGACGGAAGGGAACAGACTGACCTCGGTAATGAGGGGAACGCCCTCATATATCAGGAGAGGTCCCCAAGCACTGTGGGAGGAAACCACTAAATGCTAACTGAATAAAAAGTGGAAACACACAGTACCTTTGATCAGTGCTGCTGGAGGAACTCTGGGCCCTGCTGCCCCAGAGCACCCTACTCTTGCCTCCGAGTCCATCGGCTCCGGCTCTCCTTCTCCACACACTTCAACTCCCAGTTGACTAAAGAATCCTGAGTACTTTCTGAGTTCCCCAGGTAGGGAAGGAGCATGCATACCTTCTTCAGTTTCTGCAGCACTGGAGGGCATATCTGGTTTCTCCGCTGACGTGGTTTCTTGCTCTTCAAGAGCCTAAGAAAGGCAGGGAAAAAAAAAAATCAGTGAAAGCTGTTTGAGGCTTCAGATATGCAGCAAGAGATGCAGATCACAATCCAGGATCTGAGAGGTAAAACAGCCAGAGGCAAAGCCAGGGGAGGTGAGGGCAGATGGGGTGTCGGGGAACATGAAACAGCAGCCCGCATGACGCTAGATGGTGGAAGGAACCCGAGACGAGGGCCAAAGCTGTCTCCGCCAGTGGTTCTCACTGCTTCCCCTGATCACAACACCAAAGGTTCTCAGGAGCATGAGATATGAACCAAAAGGGGGACATAGAAGAGCAAAGCTTGAAATCAGTAAGAGGGGCTGCTGTTTTACACATCTGCCTGCCTAGACTCCCATCCACACCCTAAGACACAGGGATCGGGGCCTGGAGAGCGGCGGGAAACACTCATACAGAGAGGACCGCTGATACATGGAGGACCCGGGATGGGCACAGGCCAAGGGCTGCATGTTGGCACAAGCAGCATCAGGCTGTTCCTGGCCGAGACAGGGTCATGAGCCGTAGATAGAATCAGGTTACCCTTACAGCCCTCTGCACTTCCTTTTCAGATGGATTCCACATAGTCAATGAAAATGTGAAGAGACAGAATGATGCGTTGATGTGTCAAAAACTATCCAAGCCTGCATCAGCACATGTTCCAAAACAAATACACGGGCGAACTGGGGCAGGCAACCCTCCAACTGACAGAGACCCCTAAACCACCTCCCCACCCTCTGCCGTGGGCATGTTTTTCAGCTCAGTGCATCACGAGCTTGCTCATGACTATGTCAGAACATCCGGCAGCCAGAGCAAAAAGAACAGGAAAATATACATAATTGACCAAATCACAAAGAGGCAGAGAACAAGCAGTCCCCAGTCACCCAGCCTCTGTGGCTATTACCTGTCCCTAGCCTGACTCCCAGGACACAGTACTCACTCTTTTAAGGACCATGATGGAATGAAAGGATGGACCAGAGCAGGTATGTCTGGGGAAGTACCAAGGAAATGACAGGATGAGGAAAAGCGTTAGTTGCTAAATCGTGTCCTGCTGTTTGCAACCCCATGGAATGTAGCCCGCCAGGCTCCTCTGTCCATAGGATTATCCAGGCAAAAATACCGGCGTGAGTAGCCATCCCCTTCTTCAGGGGACCCTCCCAACTGAACCCAGGACTCCTGCAATGCAGTAGATTCCTTACCGTCTGGGCCACCAGGGAAGCCTGACAGGATGAGTACCTGGGGTTGAAAGAGGACTGACCACATGGATTCAAGGCCAAAGACAGCCACTGACTCCATGTGTTTACCTGGAGGTCAGCCTTAACCCCCAAACCCTAGTCTCAAAGGCAACTGGCAAGTCTATGCAAAAATGACATCAGGCAATGCTGGTTTCTTATTACAAAGTAAGGAAATACTTCTTTAAATGGGGTGTATTAAAACTTAATTTTTATTCTTGCGAGTAATTTTGGTTACAACTTCAGAACACTTACATTTCCCAGCCATCTTATATATTCATTTTAGCCAAGTTCTAAAACTAAATAATCAGCATCCGATTAACATTAAAAACTTTGTTATGTGGAAAGAACAAAAACTTGATTAAAGATAGAGCTAATATTTTGCCTATTTAATTTCCTAATAACTACCTTTATACTTTGGATATTTAACACAAACCTGTCATTTTCAGTATTTAATATTTATACAAATGATCAGTCTACCAGTGTCAGCTATAATATCATGTAGTAACATGAATATGTTACAACTCAGAACAAGGATTGCTTCTGAATGGGATCACCATCACCTGCACAGGTCTTGTATCCTATAGAGCAAACTCAGGTTCTGCAGCAGGTTTTGTTGTCGTCGTGCTAGAAGGCTGCAGATAACTGAGTAATGCCTGAACCCAGACACGGAAGCTGCCTCGAGAACAAATGAGTCTCTCAAAGCAAAGTCACTGTCTATAGCTATTACATAAAAACAGGCTTTTAGATGCCTAAGATTTAATAAATAAATATTTCATTACACTACATATAATTTCACATGTTAACCTAAATTGTAAAACTTTAGTGGGGACAACCTATATGATGATCGCTACCTGCTTACATTTACCTAGACTTGTCCAAATGACTATAAATGAGATGTTCCCACAACCCCTCCTTGTGTTCAACTGATTCACTAGAGCAGCTCACAGAACATAGAAGCATTTTACTTACTAGCTTCCAGGTTTATTATAAGAGAAAATAACTTATAATGATACAAGAGAATACATGGTAACTCTAATACATAGCTATATATATAAGGGAATATAACTCAGGAATAACCAGATGGAAGAGATGTACAGGGCAGGGTCTGAGGAAAGGGCACGGAGCTTCCGTGCCACTCCAGGCAGGCCAGTCACCCAGCACTTCCAACCAGTTCCCCAACTGGAAAGATCTCCGAATCCAGTCCTCTGGGGTTTTAATGAAGGCTTGCTTTATTAAGTAGGCATGCTAGATTAAATCTTTGTCCTTGGGTGATGAAACTCTATCTTCAGGTCCTTTCCCCTCCCTGGAGGTCAAGGGGGTAGGACTGAAAGTGGGTGGGTCTCATGGTAACTAGCCCCTATCCATCCCTAAGTGCTTTCCTAAAGTTTCCATATTAACATAACAACAACAACAAAACACACACTTGTCTGTTCAACGTTTAGGAAATCCCAAAGGTCTGGAGAGCTATGAGCCAAGAACCATGGACTGAGACCAAATATATTTCTTTAAGTTATGACATTACAATTTCCAGAAGAACCTCGGCCTCATTCCATTCCCAGCCTCCCTATGCACCACCCAACCAACAGGTCAGGGCAGGAAGGATTAAAAAAAGGGATGCTGATACTTGGAACACAAGGCCATCCCACTGCAATGGATTCTCCTTTTACCAAGTGTTTTCCATAAAATGAAAATCTCTGATACACTGGAAAGTAACCTTCAGTTGGTCTTTGTTATAGTATAATCCACTACAGTCAGTTATTAAAGCATCTATATTTACCCATCCTAAATCTCCCAAAGTCATCAGTAAAAATGATCTCAAATAGGTTATGAGAAATTATGAATCTGACTTAAGAAGCTGGAGGTTTTTATAATGAAAGAAATGTTCAGAATTCTGGCTCTCCACGGAGCACGCTCTCGCCTTGTAGGAGCTTGGTGGTCCTGCTGAGGTCTGAGTGTCCCCTCTGAGGACACACATATTGCTGAGCTCTGCCCCTAGGAAGCTGCAGGGAGAGGCACTCACCCTGAGCAAGGCTGCTGGGCCAGGCCCAGCCTCAGTTCGTACAGAAAATCCACCCCTGGGGCCTGGGTGAGAAGCCATGGAAATAGCTGAGGGCTTCTGCATATTTAAAAGTACCCTTAAGCACAATGAGGAAATACCATAGGCCAGAAAATTATACACTAAACTCCTTGGAAGGAAAGTTTTGACTAACCTAGACAGCATATTAAAAAGCAGAGACATTACTTTGTCAACACAAGGTCCATCTAGTCAAGGCTATGGTTTTTCTAGTGGTCGTGTATGGCTGTGAGAGTTGGACTCTAAAGAAAGCTGAGTGCCAAAGAACTGATGCTTTTGAACAGTGGTGTTGGAGAAGACTCTTGAGAGTCCCTTGGACTGCAAGGAGATCCAACCAGTCCATCCTAAAGGAGATCAGCCCTGGGTGTTCATTGGAAGGTCTGATGTTGAAGCTGAAACTCCAATATTTTGGCCACCTGATGTGAAGAGCTGACTCATTTGAAAAGACCCTGATGCTGGGAAAGATTGAGGGCAGGAGGAGAAGGGGATGACAGAGGATGAGATGGCTGGATGGCCTCACGGACTCAATGAACATGAGTTTGAGTAAACTCCGGGAGTTGGTGAGGACAGGGAGGCCTGGCGTGCTGCGGTTCATGGAGTCGCAGAGTCAGATACAACTGAGCGACTGAACGGAACTGAACTGAAACTCCCTAAACACAGCAAACAAAGGTAGTTCATACTCTCTGAAGAGCGTGTTTCATTTTTGTTTAAAAAAAAAAAAAACCCTATACGGAGAAAGCAATAATCATTGCTATAAAATATTCATGGTTAAATCTTTTGGGCTTTCCCGGTAGCTCAGCGGTAAAGAATCCACCTGTCAATGTAGGGGCCACAAGAGCCACAGGAGATGTGGGTTTAATCCCTGCATTGGGAAGATTGCCTGGAGGAGGAAATGGCAACCCACTCCAGTATTCTTGCCTGGAGAATTCCATGGACAGAGAAGCCTGGCAAGCTACAGACTGGGGTCAGACAAGTCAGTTGTACCTGAGCATGAATTAAAAAAAAAAAAAGAAACTCCCTAAACTCAACAAACAGAGATAGTTTATACTCTGAAGAGCATGTTTCATTTTAATTGTTTAATAAAACCCTATATGGAGTAAGTTATAAGCTTTGTATATAATATTTATGGTTAAATCTTTCATTTAGCTATATAAAGCAAACATTTTACAAAAGTCAAAACTGATAACAGTATCAGTTTTCTAAACTGACTGTTTACTTTGTAAAGCCTAAACTGTCATGAAACTGGTGCTTTTTTTTTGGTGGTTCTTATTAATGGATGTGCTTGAGAAGACTGGGGGTTGGGAGGTTGCCAGAGGGTGTCACACATTCTGGTGAGTAAATCCTTTATACCTGTGAGCACTAGCAACTAAACTGACTGAAGCCCTTATACGCAAAAGAACATTCTGCTTAATAATAATTAAAATATATAAATCTGTTTTCTAATGTTTGAAATTTGACCCCAAAAATAATAATAATGAAGATAAGACATTTTAAACCTAAGGTGGGCATGCTATAATAACACTCAAAGCTGATGTTTGGGTGATGGTGGGAGGGGGAAAAATATCTTTGAAAAAGTACTAGTCTCAAGTAGCCAGGCCCCATTCAAGAAGAAGTTGTACACTGAAACAAAGGCTTAACTATATCTGAGTCTTAAGAAATCCCAGAAGAAGGTATTATTCATGTAAAATAATCCTAAAGGCAACTGCTTTAGATAAGAATGATAATATAATCAGTAAATTAATAGCAAATATCCAACTTTAGAATATTAAAATTCAACATCAGTGATGCTGGCTCATGAAAAGTAAAGGGAACAATATTATACAAATGACTACTGCCAAAATATTATATAATAATCTTCATTCTACTGGTGTAACAGTTTCCAATTCCATGTCCCTCCAAGTCCCATTGGAAAAAAACAAAGTGCTACCTCTCAAAAAAAAAAACCGTTCCCCAGATAACTGGTTTGCTGTCTGAACTCTCAAAAAGCATGAGTTATTATCTTATACCACAATAAAGGGCACAAACCTTGATGAGAAAGGCTCTATCCCAAAAGTATTTTCTGAAGAGTTTAATATCTGCCTCCAGCAAATGTTCGGCTGTGTGGTTAAGCGTCAGGGTCAGGGTTTCTGATGAGTGAATATACCGCAGAGAGGCATCTTCACTGAGCTGCAGGCGGGAGAAACCTGGGGAACATCTGCCCTGGAAGCTGAAACACCAAAAGTCAAAACCCACAATCACAGTGCCCCTCATCAGTCCTGATATTATCACAAGCCCACTGGCCAAACAATCCACAAAAGCTTCCTACTGAAAATAGGTATAGAAGACCATATAAATACATCCTAATAAAGCCATTTTTGTTTTCCCACCTAGAGAAGTCATCAGTTGAAAAGCTGCTCACATATATTATATACTTAAAAGAGTTACATAATTAATGCAACAGTACTGACTTGTAAACATAGGGCTTTACCTCAATGTTTCATTCTCCTTTTAATCTGAAAAGATGCCTCTGGCCTTAATGGCACCACATGTAGTAGAACAAAGCAGCTGGCAGCTGAAGGTTTATTAGGTGATTACAGTGGAAAACAGATATGATCTCTAGGGAGAATAGTGAGGTTTGGATGTTACAAACAAGATATTCATAACACACTGGTCCACTGCTGTAAATCATTTCCTCATGCAAATAAAAACGAGCGTAAATTTGATCATGTTGATTTCTTGAAATCACTCATAGACAAAGGAACAATATCCTCAAACTAAATTCTGAGTATCAGCTTATTTTCTGTTGTGGCAGAGAACAACTGCATGTTCATTATTATTAGCTCTTTGTAGGCTCCTCGGTTACAGTCACAATATTCTGGATGGTCTATAGGTCGATAAAGAGGGGTCAGGAGGGAGATGCTGGTGCTCCCAGGTAACAGCCCACTTCAGCGTGTTGCCACAGCACACAGGTGCTCCCAGGTCCTTCCGTTCACAGAACTAGCTCTATGCCTCTCTCCTCTCCTTCCATGACATCACTTTGCCAATGAACATTTGCATCTTTGCAAAATTATAGTATAGTTCCAACCACATCAGTGTTGTCTCCATCACATGGTACGACGGATCCATTAAGAACACTCTTACTCTAAGATTTGGGGCATCTCCCCACACTCTTGACATAATTACTGGCAGGGACTTTAGAATCTTCTAGAAAATAACTCCCCTTGCTAACAGCAAGTGAATAAATTCAGTTGAAGTGAATAATTCAGCCTAAGCAATAAGAGTCTTGTAATTAATTTAGAAAATGGAAGCTCCATCACGTAATCAGAATTTAGCTTACAGTCTACTCCTAATCCCATCATGAATGAATTTATTAGATGAGCAAACATTTAATTTTAGTTTTATTGACATATAGCTGAGTTACAATGTTGTGTTAGTTTCAGATATATAGCAAAGTGATCCAGTTATACATATATTCATTCTTTTTTAGATTCTTTTCTCTTATAGGTTATCACAGAGTATATCTGTGCTATCTAGTACGTCCTCTTTGATCATCTCTTATATATAATAGTATGCATATGTTCACCCCAAGCTCTCACTCACCACCACGTTTCCCCCTTGATAACCATAAATTTGTTTTCAATATCTGTAAATCTGTTTCTGCTTTGTAAGTCAGTTCGTTTGTATCATTTTAAATTAGATTCCACACATGAATGATTGATATTTGTCTTTGTCTGATTCACTTCACTTAGGATGATGACCTCTAGATGCATCCATGTTGTGGCCAAAGGCATCATTTCATTCTTTTTTATGTTAGAGTAATATTCCATTGTGTGTGTGTACACACATTTATATACACACACACATATATATATATACACACACATATGTGTGTATATATATATATACCCCATGTGTTCTCTGTCAATTCTTCTGTCAGTGGATATGTACGTTGCTTCCATATCTTGACTACTGTAAACAGCGCTGCTATGAACACTCAGGTGCATATATCTTTTTAGTTTATGTTTTTCTCTGGATATATGCCCAGAAATAGAATTGCGAGATCATACTGTAACTCTATTTTTAGTTTTTTAAGGAACCTCCACACTGTTCTTCATAGTAGTTGTACCAATTTACATTCCCACCAACAGCGTAGGAAGGTTCATTTTTCTCGACACCCTATCCAGCATTCATTGTTTGTGGACATTTGATAATGGCCATTCTGACCAGTATGAAGTGATACCTCATTGTACTTTTTATTTGCATTTCTCTGATAATTATGGATGTTGAGCATCTTTTCATGTGCTTTTTGGACAGCTGTATGTTTTCTTTGGAGAAATGTCTATTTAAATCTTCTGCCCATTTTTTGATCAGGTTGTTTGCTTTTATTGACACAGAGGATGTGTAAACTTTTAAAATACATATCATCTTCTGGTCTTGGACACAATAGAAAGATACAAAGCTGCCAAACACAAAGAAGTGATGCACCAGGTCCTCAGTATAACCCTGAACTATCCACAATGACAAAGCCAAGGAAGTGGTCCCGCCTTGCCCTTTTCAGGTAAAGAAAGTGTGGTCGTGGTAGAGCAAACACAAGGGCAGTTCCATTAGGATGGGCTCTTTCCTTAGTTGGTGTTCATTTGACCAAGTGAGAACAAAAATAGAAAGTTGTGACTTCCACATCTACTCAGGTAGCATACAAACATAAATTAATTACAATGAGTTCCATGGGCCAAATGAAAAGAACCAGTCCATGAAGACAAACCATGTAATAACACTGATAATATTTAATATTTATGTAATACTTTGCAATGTTCATTGCTGCTTCCCATGCTAAGTCATGCTTCCACATGCTAAGTCAAGGAAATCATTGTATAGGAGTCCTCTAATCATAAGTAAAAACTAATAATAATGACCAATCTGAACCATTCTAAGTTACACACATTGAAAATGTTGGTATCATCCTCAAAACCGAGGACTTTACATTTGACAAATTATTTCACTTCCATTATTTCTAGATCCTACTAACCAGCCCATTGGCTACATAGTATCTTAGGGTTTGTTATTCATTGATTCAACAAAAACTTACTGTCTTTCAATGAATGTATATGCTGAACACAGCAGGTAAAACAGAAATAAGTTTCAGTCCCCAAATGATTTAGAATGGAGACATATATGAAATAAATGATGATTATATATAAAATCATAAATTATGATATATATTATAAATTAATAATTACAGTCACAATTAACACTTTAATCATAATCATAAAAGATCAGAATGTAGAAGGCCTCTCTGAAGAAGCGACACTTAAACTAATGAAAGATAAGTCAGGGTTAGGCTAGTGTTTCCCAACATATTTTTTCTTACTGTAGCCACCTCCCCCACCATGGAGCCTTTTAAGAGACTTTTCCTGACTCCCTCTCCCCCATGAAATGTGAATACCAAATATAACTCTATATCTGTTTATATATGATGTGTATATCTATACTTTATACATGGAAACTAATGGTAAACTATAAACCAAATGTTAGCTTGTGGCTTGGTCATCTTTAATTTTTCCATAATGCTTGGAAGATTTTATAGAAGTAGACTTAGAGAGAATCTATCAAGCAGCCAAACTCACTTTGTGATGTCTTCAACCAGCTTGGAGTGTCCACCACGTAAAGCTAAGTCTAATGGTGTGGCACCCTCCTCGTTGGGCAAAGTCAGGGCCTGGACTCCCCCAGGGAGACACAGGAGGAGCTGGGAAAGCTTAGTGAGGCCCCATCTCACAGCCAGGTGCAGAAGAGACTCCCTATGCAGGGAAACTGAAAAGAAAAGACATGCGGCATTATTAACAGTGCCTCCATTTAAAAAGTTTACCTTACATATTTTCTCCAAGAGATTGTCAGAGTAAGAACAGGAATAGTAAGCATGGAAGAGCTGGCAGGAACAATCAAAAACATCTGATCCAAACACCTCGCTTTGCAGACGCGGAAAGGTCAGTGACCTGTGCCAGGCCAGGCAGGCATTGGAGCCAGCTTTGCCCATCACTGGTACAACGCTGTTCTACCCCCACGGGGCACATTCACCTTCCACTCATGTTCAGTGAAGCCATCTGGGGAAAACAAGTGCTAGGAGAACACCATCTTTCGGAAACAGGCATCATCAACTCCCTAAGGTGTTCGCTAAGGAGATGCTGACCCTGGCAGGACAGGCTAATGGGGCCAGGAGTGATGAGGGTCAGGGAGCCTTCATTTCCACCTCTTGTCCTCAGAGGTGCTCCTCCCCACTCAACAGCTGAGGCAGAAATGGAATCTAAGTCCATGGCCTCTCTCAGACATCACGGAGATACTTTTACCCATCTATTAGATTCTTGGGATTGTTTCAGTGTTGCCAAAGCTACATATACCTCTGTGTGTGTGTGTGTGTGTGTGTGTGTGTGTACTCAGTTGTGCTCAGTCGTGTCCAACTCCTTGTGACGCCATGGACTGTAGCCCACAGCTCCTCTGTCCACCAGAACTTTCCTTAAAAAGCTTGACCTGTGCCTCGTCACGTGCCCCTTGACATGGGGGCTCTTGCCTGGTCCATGTCTGGGTTTTCACTGCTGGTGTTTGCCACTGTGTCTTATGGCTGTTTCCTGACTGTGTCCTCTTATAGGCTGAGGGGATCCTGGAAGTTTTTATTGCTAACATTTAGCATAGTATATAGGCTTCCAAGGTGGCCCAGTTCAGTTCAGTTCAGTTCAGTGACTCAGTCGTGTCCGACTCTTTGAGACCCCACGGACTGCAGCACGCCAGGCCTCCTTGTCCACCACCAACTCCTGGAATTTACTCAAACTCATGTCCACTGAGTCCGTGCTGCCATCCAACCATCTCATCCTCTGTCGTCCCCTTCTCCTCCCGCCTTCAATCTTTCCCAGCATCAGGGTCTTTTCCAATGAGTCAGTTCTTCACATCAGGTGGCCAAAGTATTGGAGTTTCAGCTTCAGCATCAGTCCTTCCAATGAACAACCAGGACTGATCTCCTTTACGATGGACTGGTTGGATCTCCTTGCAGTCCAAGGGACTCTCAAGAGTCTTCTCCAACACCACTGTTCAAAAGCATCAGTTCTTCGGCACTCAGCTTTCTTTAGAGTCCAACTCTCACAGCCATACATGACTACTGGAAAAACCATAGCCTTGACTAGATGGACCTTTGTTGACAAAGTAATGTCTCTGCTTTTTAATATGCTGTCTAGGTTAGTCATAACTTTCCTTCCAAGGAGTAAGCGTCTTTTAAGTTCATGGCTGCAGTCACCATCTGCACGGATTTTGGAACCCCAAAAAATAAAGTTTCTCATTGTTTCCCCATCTATTTGCCATGAAGTGATGGGACGGGATGCCATGATCTTACTTTCCTGAATGTTGAGCTTTAAGCCAACTTTTTCACTCTCCTCTTTCACTTTCACCAAGAGGCTCTTTAGTTCTTCTTTGCTTTCTGCCATAAGTGCAGTAATGCTTTTAAGTAATGCTCAAAATTCTCCAAGCCAGGCTTCAGCAATACATGAACTGTGAACTTCCAGATGTTCAAGCTGGTTTTAGAAAAAGCAGGGGAACCAGAGGTCAAATTGCCAACATCCGCTGGATCATCGAGAAAGCAAAAGAGTTCCAGAAAAACATCTATTTCTGCTTTATTGACTATACCAAAGCCTTTGACTATGTGGATCACCACAAACTGTGTAAAATTCTGATAGAGATGGGAATACCAGACCACCTGCCCTGCTTCTTGAGAAATCTGTATGCAGGTCAGTAAGCAACAGTTAGAACTGGACATGGAACAACAGACTGGTTCCAAATAGGGAAAGGAGTACATAAAGGCTGTATATTGTCACCCTCCTCATTTAACTTATATGCAGAGTACATCATGAGAAACACTGGGCTGGAGGAAGCATAAGCTGGAATCAAGATTGCTGGGAGAAATATCAAAAACCTCAGATATGCAGATGATATCACCCTTATGACAGAAAGCGAAGAAGAACTAAAGAGCCTCCAAGTTGGCTCAGTAGTAAAAAAAAAAAAATCCTTCTGCAACCCAGGAGACCGGCGTTCAATACCTGGGGTGGGAAGATCCCCTGTAGAAGGAAATGGCAATCCACTCCAGTATTCTTGCCTGAAAAATCTCAAGGACAGAGGAGCCTGCTGAAGTCATTCAGTATTTATTGAGTTGAATGACAAGTGACTGTTAAAAATCTCAATCATTTGTGTATGTTTAATTCATCTAATTTGTATAGAGTTTGTACACCGTATTTCTACTATGACTCAGTACCTGGAACACAGCTGGCCCATGATAAACATTATACTGGAAGCATGTAAAAGAATATACTTGTTTATATTTAGAAAAGCTAAGCCCATGAACTCCATAGACATCAAGACACACCTTAAAACATATGCAGTCTTAACAACTGAACGCGAAAATGCTAACATTCAAGATCTGTCGGAATAAGTTTGAAGTAAGGATCTGAGTTGCACATACCCTCCAGTTAAGTAATACTGACTGTAATCTGAAAGAGATCCAGAGGATGCTGCCTCACCTTGGAGTGGAAAGTGTCAGAGGATAGGACCTTATCTGTCTTTAATCCTAGCACAGTCCTGGCGAGTTATATGCTCTATAAATATTTGCTTGTTGAATGAATAAATGACCAATGGCTCTTTCCCTGATGAGTACCCATGACAGTCAGCTTTTAGTACACGGTACACATGCTCTTTGAAGCATCTATCATTCTTAGTTCTTCCTCTGATATCAATACCTCTTGACTAAAATCTATGAACCCAAACTACATACTCCCACACAGCTGGGCCACTGAACACAAAATCTACGGATATCTCCACGCAGCATGCTGTCTACACCGACATGATTTTGCTTCTCCATTGTCTTCATTAGCATAACTTCACTAGTCCTGGAAGACTTCAGCCTAGGAAAAGATTGAATATTCATCATAAGACCTTCCTTCAAGGCATATCAAGGCTTGATTAGAAAGCATTGACAGTTTAAGCCTTAAAACCAATATTTAACCACTATACCATGATCTTGATCTAATCCTAATCAAACTCCCTTCCCTACCACCACCACCCCCCACCATCATGCCTCCTCTGCATTTGAAAACCCTCATTAAAACAAACTTCCAGTTCTCAATAAATTCCAACCATGTTTTCCCTCCTCAAGACGATGCTAAGGCCCACTGGAGGTGGGGCTCTCCCTCCTCAGGCCCGAAACCCAGCCTGGCCTTTCCAGCAGCCTGTGCTGTTGCAGCCAGCATCCAACAAGACTAATTTGAAACAATCAGAAGGGAACACTCCATTGCACATGGGTCCAGAAGAAAACGGTTTAGCTTCCATTTTTCATTGGTTTACACTATTTCTACATGCAGATCAATGAGCATAAAGTCTTATAGTTCAAATTTGCAAATGTCACAGACTTCACTGTACGTGTGCTCCATCTTCCGTCTCTGTAACACAGCACAGATCCCCCCTCCCACTCCAAGTGAAATGACATCTGAAACATCTGAAAACAGACAAAGCAGTGCGCCCCCGCCAGACAAGCTTCATATACCTGCTTTCTTTCCAAGACTACCAAAGAACTTATCTTTATTTTATCATTTAACTTTTTGACTTTTAAACCCACTTAATTAGAAAGTAAGGTTTCTTACCCTTAACTGATTCCCAACAAGGCACGTTTGGTGACACTGACACTTTTTTTCCTTCTTAAATAATAATCAGCAAGAGACTTGTTAGGATCAGGTGACAACACACACACATAAACACACACACAAGTACACTGCCCGGGGTGCCAGTCAGCACGCAGCTACAGCGAGCCATACTCGGATGGGGTGGCTCCATCTCAGATCTCAGTCTGAACCTGGTGAGAAATGCCCATGATTACATGGAATGCAATTTTTTCCCAAAATAAATATGACCAAAAGGGAACATCTAAAATTTTCATGCTCCCTTTTAAAATGATAGCCCTGATAAAGGCAGTGTGGTGTCAACCGTTTAAGTGGTACTCCCTGCAGTGCCTGGAGCAAGGCCCTAAAATACCCTCACATCTGCCCGTGGTTCACTGTACCCACCCTGACTGAGGTGTGAGTGTGGAGAGAACTCGTGTCCTCCACCAGCAGAATCTGCCAGGCCTGTCCCCTAAACCAGCCCCCTGTTCTCCCCTTTCCAGCTCCATCTGTTACCAACCAGAGCTCCTGGCCTCCCCCAGTCAATAGAAATTGACTAAAAGTCAGACAAGAAATTCAGGCAAGGCTTTCCTGGGGCCCCTGCTGCAGCAGAAGGGAGCGAGAATAAACAACAGGTTCCCTTGCCTGCTCCTTCCCTGAGCAGAGTAGAGCTTGTTCCTTGTACGGGGTGAGGGTAGGGATGTGTTCAGAGGATGGCTGATGGCTGGCTTAGGTGGTTTGCCCCACCTCAGGTGGCGCTGCGTGCAGGAGGCAAGCACAGTATTCTGCTTTTGCTCCAGGCTCTTCAACAGTGGCAGTTGGGTTTTTTGGTCTCTGTGTATCTTTTGTCCAGAAGCTGCCCCCAAATACGCACCCACCCAGTTAATTTTAGTCCCAGACAGCTTCTTTGCATATTGTTGCTCGAGGAAAGGTGTGTCCAGGTGTAAGCATTGCAGTGAAGGGTCCCAGGATGTCTCACACCCGCACACCATGCTCATGGGCAAGGACAGCAGACCTGGGGGGCTGAGCGCTCACTGTAGCTACTCTCTCTCTCTGAATCCACCTGCTTCCTGGGAAAATGGGAAGGCAGGGGGAGAGAAGAGCTTCTGATGTTTGAAGGAAACA